AAAAAAAAAATTGCCTCGTAAACTTTTATGCTCAAATCCTTTTTTTTTGGGTTAAAAACCTCCTTTTTTTTCATTTTAAAATTATATTTTTGTTTAAAATTAATTTTTTGTGTATTTAAATTATTTTGATGGATTAATATCAAAAATAAATTTTAAAAAATAAAAAATAAAAAAATATTATTAATACATTAAAAAAAAACAATTTAAATATCATCAATAACTAGCAATAAACTAAAAGCTGTGAGAAACTAGACAGAATACAGAATAGATGGCTTAAATACTTAAATTGACTCAGAGCTAGTTAAATAAGAGAAAGGGGACGCTAAACGTACAAAACAATGGGCGATAATCATCACGGAAGCAGAAGTCAGCACATTGATGATGAAAAGCTGTGCTCTGGTTCATACAAGTAAAAATGTAATGCGATAAAAAATGAAGTGTTCATCGCACACAAAGAAGGTCCCCGATCAATCTTCATCTGAGTAGTTGAACTTAATTGAGTGTGAATACAAATCAATCTGCCCTCCTCTGTATGTCCCGCGCTTCTTCTTTGTTTTTTCATGCCTAAAACCCCTGAGAGAGAGTGAGAGACAAAGGGTCAATGAGAGAATTACCAGAATAAGATCAAAAGGAATGGAATCCCACTTATCATTCTAAATGCACTATCCGTAATAGATACTGAATTACTGATAGTATCAACAACGAAGAGGTGTACCAAGTAGAAGAACAGCATGGGGCTGGGTGTAAAGTCTAGGGTTTCTTTGAGGTGCATTAAAAGAATAAAGAAGAAAAATCATAATGTGGAAGCCATCCCATAATCATTAACAAAATCATGCAATCTAAAAGAGCAACTCTAGCGATTGATCTAACATGTAAGAAAATTGTTCTTAATGTACAAATCCCCAAGATATTGAAATTGGAGGTATATACCTTTTTTTTTCTTTTTTCTTTTTTTCAATTTCAAGATTTTTTTCTTCAAAAACATAAAAAAGTAATGACCAACAAAAACCAAACCCTACTTTGATTCCTTAAAAGATCCTAGGTTAAGTTTAACAGCAATATTTGAATCAGTGTTTCATATTGAAAACTTGCTCAAAGTCAGAATTACTGGAAGAAAAGAGGTTCCTCAACTGAACTAGGTTTAGACTTGAGTTAGAATAGCCAAGCCACCAGTTTAGATCGAATCATTTACTTCCCAATTAAGTTATCGCTACAGTTTACTTGATGCAAAGAATGACAATGAGATAACAGGAACAACCTTTTGTTTGCGTATCCGAAAATAAAGATATAGAAATGCCATAACTACAAAGTGTACCTTCCTCTAACTTGCCCAAGAACTTCTTGTGCTTTTGCACCATAACCATCCTCGGCCCCATCCTACAGAGAGTTTATGGAAAATCTTAAAGAAAAGAAACCAATGAAGGACCAGAAAACTCAAAAACAAAAATGGAAAACTTGTCAAACCTTTGCCCAGTATGAATTATCTTTAAGCCTCTCATCAGAGAATACCACCTCATCAACTTTTACTCTTTGAAAATGTTTAACCGTCTTTGGCTGCAATGACATAGTTCCAGTCTAAGCATACACATAAAACCAACAATACACTTTAACATAATTATTCATGCTAATATAGAACATAACTATGGTATCATGAACTTCAACAAAAAATGGGCTTTGCTCATAAAAATGAGAATATTTCTGATGAGCCCATAGCTTAATCATCTCCTGAAAAATCAATTTTGTTCAAAACCTGGCTACACATAACTACTTCAGGTTTTAGTTCCACCACAATGGCAAATAGGTTTAAGCACATGTATACGGGAAACCTGGGAAACTTATAGCACTGGAACAATTTGAACATGCTGTTAATTGGGATTTAAAAGGAAACTCAGCTTCAGAATTTAAGGTGGAAGTAACAAGCTTCCCTAAATTAGGGTGCTCAAAACCATACCTCAACAGAACCATTCTTTTCCTTCATAGATTTCTGCGGTGCTGATTTCGCTCCATTTTTCTCAAGGTTCCCGTTCGCATAGACATTTTCCTTTAGTTCTTCTGAACTTTCTGTCTTTCTTCGTTTAGATTCTTCAATGGCTTTTTCATCAGCAGGCTGGGTGGCATCATCTTCAGAAGACAATCTTTTCCTCTTCTTGGAACTCTTATTGTCTTTGTCATTCACATCCTCCTTCAATTTCTTAGAGTCATCCTTTTCAGAATTTGATTTCCCTTCATCAAGCATCTCAGCAGACAAATTTTCAGAAAAAACAGCACCCTTCCTTTTCTTCTTCCCTTCAAATTTGATGTTCTTGTTGTCCAAAATACTGTCAGCACTTGCTCCTTGCTTACTCTTCGAGATATGTTGCTCTCCATTTCCAATAGTGGAATCAAAAAGCTTGTCTTTCTTTTTCTTCTTATCCTTTGGTTTATTATCTGTCTCAAAATCAGTTACTTTGTTTCCCTTGGAAGATGCCAAATCCTTAGATTTTTCTTCCATTGACACAGGCTCTGCCAGATGATGTCCAGCGTTATCATCTTGAGAATCGGATTCCAAGTTGCTTTTCTTCTTCCTTTTGTCCTTGCGTTTCTTATCAGGCAATTCACCAGCACCATTATCAGCAGGTTCCTTCAAAGCTTTGACATTGTCTTGTTCCTCTTGTCCATGAGAATCAGAATTCCTTTTCTTTTCCTTCTTCTCTTTCGACCTTACTTCAGTAGCCACTGTATCATTTGTTATGATCTCTTCAACACTCTCAGAATTGTTAACTTCATCACCAGCTCCTAATTGATTGTTTATAGCATCAGTATCACACTTCTTTTTCTTTTTAGTGACACCGTTCATCTGTATATCTACAGTTAAATAGAACTAGACTATGAGCTAGCACCAAAATCCACCCTATAAAGAACATTCTACGAACTATGTAGAAATACATGATATAGTTGCCTGCTCGACAAGCAATTTCATTTGGAGAATTAAACACACCTTGAACCTGATTGCTCTCAAACTTTTTGCTGGTATCATCACTACAAAAATACAGGAAGTTATGCGATTTGAGAATGGACATTCAAAGTTAACACTTAAATCAAGAAAATCCATTTGGGCAGTATATAGCTTGAATTCGAACCACATTCATTTCAGTCTGATGACTGGCAGAAACCTTGTGCACTCTTTTCATATCAAATCCAAGACACCATAACACCTTATGGGTAATCATAAAAAAATCCCTTTGTATAGCTCCACAATTGAAATTCACGGTCAACAAGAGATTACAAATTTGTTTTCTTAAAAAAAAAAAAAAATATAATCACCCTACCTTGTCTTCAAAAACTTGAAAAACACCTCCTCCAAATCAATCAAGGAATCAACACCCATATCATCTTTCTGCACAAAGAACACAACTTTCCACATTTAAAGCAACCAACAAAATCAAGTAACAAAACAAAGAACACCCAGAAAGCTACAGCACAGGACACCTTATCACATGAGGCTTCATTAATCTCAATCATCTCATATAGACCGGATACTTAAACATCAAACCAAATTCAGAAAAACTCATATGCATAAACACAAATTCAACACAAAACACTGACAAAAAAACAATCCTTTTCTCTTAACTAAAATTTTGCATAATTTGATAAACCAAGATATAGAAAGAGAGAATGACTAGTTTTGCTTTCTTGTACCTCAAATTTGGCTTCAGATTCGAACTTCTTTAATGTTTTGGAAAACCCACCAGTGTTTTCAAGATACTTAGCTATAGAATGAAGCAGAAGTGCCTTCTGCTCAGGCTTTAAAGTTTGGGTTTTGCTATTGTCCTTGTTGTTTTCTTGTTTCATGGTTGGTGGTGGGCTAGAGAGCAACAGCACTTGGCGAGGCTTAAATGATAATGGTTTGGGTTTATGTTCACTGTGCTGGCAACTGGGTTTATGCGCATGAAGAGATAGATTGCTAGGGTTTTGTTAGTTTTATACAGTCAAAGGAAGATGACTACCTGGGTTTGGGTCAGACAGAGCAATCAACCTCAACGGACAGAAGGGTTTAGAGAATGGGTTTGGTCGGGTATGGATGTTGGGGTTTAAGAGCCGTTGGATCAAGCAAATTAAAATATATTGTCTTGATTATAAATTTTGGTCCATCTAGTTTATCAATATTAATTGAATGGTCCCCTTAGTATAGAAAACGATTATATTCCCTTGACCCGTCAGACCCGATTCTAGAACTAGCATGAAAAGGGTTCAAAGCCATTGAAGTATTAAGTCGCACGAGCAGATGAATTATTTTTATTAAAATAATAATTATAAAATTATTTTTATTGAGTCGGATTTAGCTGGATTAACTATATCATTAAAATTTTAATTCAATTTCAAATTTTGATGAACTAACTATATTATTTAAAAATTTAATTAAGTTGAATAAGTTTAGTCAAATTAACATCTTATTTGGTTGATTAACAATTCATCCAAAGTAACCTTTAAATTTCCTAGATTAATCCACCGAGCTAGGCCAAGTGTAACGCCTATGCATTCTAGGACATACTCTTCAAATTACTCTAACATCTTTGTACGATTTGGAGTATCATGTCATATTTTGTCTTGCATATATATTTGGAAATGTGGGATTTAATAAAAAGTCAGGATCTTGCTTCAATATATTGTTAAGAAGTATATAACTATAATAAAACATAAATATTTATTGAGTTACCTTCTTCAATTTCAGCAACCCATAACCATGGTCTCTGGATGAAGATTGCTACAATGCAGAATCAGGGGTTATTAAACTCGGCTTATCCTAGTAAATGAATTGAGCAACCAACGCACAGTGTTTTGCTTTATTACCAAATGGAATGGACAGATCCTTAGGAGTTGTTTGGTATTTTTTGTTTTTAAAATGCAGGAGAAGAAGGGAGAAAGGAACACGAAAATTAGATTAGCGTTGGGCCAGTCCCACAGAGGCCCACATATTGAAAATCTTTAGGAGTTGCAACCTAGCAAATAAAGCCCACAACTCTCTCAAAAAACCCTAATCCTTTACTCTCATATATTTTACCTTTGAGCAGCAAAGACACCTTCACTTCTCTCTCTGAAGATAGCAGTCGCCACCATCAAGCCGACCAACAAGTAAATCTCTCAGTCTCTCCTATGTCTTTTTCTTCAGAGCTATCAATCATATCTCTTTTGTTGCTAAATCCTTATGTTTAAGTAATTCTTAATCACTTCTATTGGTTTTAGAAGCGAAAAAGGTAGAAACTCTGCTTCTCATTTGCCGAAACAAAAATCAAGAATATGCCCTCTTACAATGATTTCAAAAGGTTCTTCTTAGTTTTAGATTTTGAAATAATGGTTTTTGATATCATTCTATTGAATGATAGTGTGATTAAGCTATTTTGAAGGCCATCTATTGGGTTTAGAAGCAAAAAAAGCTAGAAAACTTGCTTCTAATTCTTCTGTAAGTTTAGAAGAGTTGCTTGCTTTTTATATTTTGATGTAAAGGATTGTTGTTATTTTTGCTTCAAATGCAGAATTTGATAGATTACTTTTATTTAGTTTGGGGTCATGCTTAGCTTTTGGAGTGCTGGGTTATTGACATCTGGTTGATTTTGATTATTACGTCTTGTGTATAGAGAGAGATGGGCGGGGAAGAAGTTCAGGTAGCGGTGCCAGAGTCTGTGTTGAAAAAGCAAAAAAGGAACGAGGAATGGGCATTGGCTAAGAAGGAAGAGAAGCTAGCTTTGAAGAAGAAGAATGCCGAAAATCGCAAGTTGATTTACAATAGGGCTAAGCAGTATGCCAAGGAGTATGATGATGAGGTAGTATACCGCATCATGTAATCTTTTATGTGCTGCTTTATTGATTGGTTTTGTGCTGAATTGGTACTAATTTGAATTCTGACTGTTTGGAATGCTTTTTTCTCTCATGATCAGCAAAAGGAGCTTATTAGGCTGAAGCGTGAAGCAAGACTCAAGGGAGGGTTCTATGTCAACCCAGAAGCTAAGCTATTGTTTATCATTAGGATCCGTGGGTAAGACTGTTGTGTTTACTTTAGCTTGTACCTCTTAATCTTAGTTTAATGTTACATTTGTTTAATGTGATGGATTCTATGACTTTCAGTATCAATGCCATGCACCCAAAGACAAGATCGATCTTGCAGCTTCTGCGTTTGAGACAGGTATGCCTCATTTCCAGTGACTTCCTTGATTCCATGAAAGTTTATATTTATTTTCATTAAAACGATATGCTAAATTTTGCACTGTAATGGTGGATGGTGCCTTAACCCCGACAAGTGTCAAGCTGAATTCTGTTCTATACGAGGCTCATAGGTTGAGGCATTTGTTTCACTTTTTCCTTTTCTTTTCATCAATTTTACTAAACAAATTAATAAAAATATCAACTAGAATGTGAAATATGCATCTATTCACATCTGTCTCTAATTAATGGTAATTCAGCTCAGGAATGTTTTTTCTTCATATAATTTGTAGTTTGATGTGTTTTTTGATAGGTGGGTGTTTGTTTAGGATGCTTAATGATTTCGATAATAAGGTCTTGCAATAATAATGTCAAAATGTCTTCGCTGGTCACAATTGAAGTGCAAAAGGATTTCTTCAGGCTGCAGATGTTTGCCATTAACAACTTTTTCCATGTTTTAATTAATGCATTCTCCTTTTTTTCTCAGAGATAAAATTACTCAAGCTAGTGCAATTATTTTCTTATGATAAGTTTTTTTAATGAGAAATTGATATGGAATTATTTTTTACTAAACACATTGCCTGGTCTTTTGTTTGCAGATATTTAATGGTGTATTCCTGAAAGTTAACAAAGCAACTGTGAATATGCTTCACAGGGTTGAGCCTTATGTGACATTTGGGTGTGTTTTCATCTCATGATTGTAATCTTATTTCATTGTCTTCTCATTCTGCTAAATTTCTTTACTGGGATATTAATGGTTTCAGGTATCCTAATTTAAAGAGTGTCAAAGAATTGATTTACAAGAGGGGCTTTGGAAAACTAAACCAACAGAGAATTCCTTTGACTGACAATTCAATTGTTGAGCAGGTCTGTAGGTTGAACATCGCTTGAGTTAATTGCTTTTCCAGAATCTGTTTTTGTAATGGGTGAGCTTGATTCCTTTTTGACTGCAGGGCTTGGGCAAGCATGGAATCATCTGCACAGAAGATCTCATCCATGAAATTATTACTGTTGGACCCCATTTCAAGGAGGCAAACAACTTCCTGTGGCCTTTCCAGCTGAAGGCACCACTTGGAGGCTTGAAGAAAAAGAGAAATCATTATGTTGAAGGAGGTGATGCTGGAAACCGTGAGGATTTTATCAATGAGCTAATCAGGAGGATGAATTAGGTTTTTATTACCTTGTTTTGATTCTCTTTTCATATTTTTGTTGATCAAAGTTATCAGAAATTGCCGTCGTGCTTTGTTTACGTTCAATGTTAGTACTTCTCCAGCAGACACAGGATGGTGGTCATTTGGTCTTTGAGTTATGTTTAATCTCTCCCTTTTGCCATAGAAGTTTTGCTAGCTTGTTACTTCATTACTGCTTTATTAAGCATCTGTATGAACTGTTCTAGAGACAATCCCAGAGGCAATAGTTCGCTTATTGGTCTTTGCTTTCATATCATACTTTTTGTACTGACCATGGTGCTGCCCTCAGTTGGTCTATCTCAGCAATATCTTGATACCTTGAGAAGCCATAGGATTTGCGGAAGATTTTAGTTCGTTATGCGTCATCAAGCCACCATTTTGTAGGAAATTGAGGTAATCTTGCCTCGCATGTGAAAGATTAGGTATCCGGCATCAACTCTATCTAGTAACAGATTTCACTTGAACTCCAAGTGCCCAACATGTTCTAGACTTAGCAGGTTTGGAGCTCTTATACTAGGTATTTTTAGATTCAATATCCACGACAGGGATTTTTACCATGTGCATATAATGGAAGGCAGCAGCCGAACCATCTTACGAATTACGCTGATGCAGGAACACGATGTCAGCTGGACCTCTAGTTTTTTAGAAAGGTAACAAGCTCTTCAAACGTGGCACTACTATATTAGACAGGACTCACAGACCACGAAGCAGGAAAGGAGCTGTCAGAATCAAATGGTGCTTTATACACCTGTTAACTTCTGTGCCAGGGCATAAGTGGTCAAGAACCCTCTTCGTTATTAAAACCAGCATACTCTTAGTTATAAAAACCAGCATGACCCAAGACTTAAGTCCATTCACCCAGGTTAGTTGGATCAACCTGGCTGGCCTATGTAAACCAGTATTGGTCTTGTTTAATTCAAAATATGTTTTTCTTCTTTTAATAAAATTAAAAAAAGGTTAAAACATGTTGAGTCTTTTTTAAAGAAAAAGTTAAACCGGGTTTTCTATAGGTTTTGACCGGATTGTGGGTTGATTGTGTTTGAATAAATAAAATTTCCACCTGCTTCTACAATGCCCTGTTGTCCCCACATCGCCGGTGCCAGACCATGCTTTTGCTCTGCCCCAGCAACGCTAAGAATGCATAGCCCACATGTAACTCCTATACTACCAAGATTGACACAGCACTTGATAACTCCACCTTTACGAGTTCTGATCCCTCTCCAATTCACGAACATGAAAGAGTGAATCGTTAAGCATGTCAACCTCAACAAGAATCAAGCGGCCCATGCATTCCCAAAAATAGTGAAACCTTTCCATTCCTTCTGTGGTGAGGTATGACCTCCAGTACATTAATGTCAAAGCATTCTTTATCAACGTCAAAGTATGCAGATGTCCTTTCTGGACAGCCAGTGAATGGCACCCTTCCAACACACGATAATCAAAACCATTAGCGATTGATGCACTGAAAGTATCACCTGATAGACCTCAAATACTTCTCTCAGAGGAAGATATACCTATTTGATTAGTGTGAGGAACAACAAATGCAAGATCTTGATCCTGCTATTTGTCAATTAAATTCCAAAGACAAATAACTTTGAAATGAAATGATTTTGGAGGATCAAAAGCTAAACTAACACCAACAATACAACATCTGCTGCCGGAAGACACTTTACAAGGTGAGAGAAACTCAGCCAATTTCCTGGTTGTAGGGTTGCAAATGAAGTGGCAGCAGAGTCATTCAATTATCTGGTAGAGCTGCAAGGTAGCAAACCATTACAAGACTGGTAATTTTAACAACTGGGGTGTTTAAAAATTCAGGAGAAGGAAACTCTAGATGGTTATCATATAACCATGGAAAGAAGAGGCCTGAGAGTGCAGTATTTGTGTTCTTGAAGTTGTGGTTACAACAGAACTGAGTGCTTGATACGAGGAGAAGCCAAGGTTTGCGAACATACTTGAATTTGACTATAAATTTTACTGGCAGCCGTAGCAAGATTTCTGTTAGTACATCTTCACGCCCTGCAATTTTCTCACAGCTGATGTGATATTCTTTCTTGAAATTTTTCAACTATTAACTTGTCTTTCAATGTCTAATACTGTTGATTGATTTGTTCAAAGCGTGTCCTGATCAGGGAATAAAGGTTGAGAGATAAAGGGAACAGGCTAGGAAAGAAGGAAATGTAGAGGAAACAACTAGCCGACAAGGTGTGGTGAGATCCCTTTAAGATTCCTTGCTGGGTGGATTGTGCTCGCATGCTGCAAAAACCTGACTGCACATATAATTCAAGATGGATTTTATTGATCTTTAAAAGATATGGAAATTGAAATGAAAATATAAATATTGTTTCTTGTAACCTCATTTTGGTTAGGTTGAAGTCCAAGAATTGTGTGCTCATTGTCACAAGTCTTCAAACATGAGAAATAAAATTTGCATTAATCCTCATTTAACGTTGACGTGTTTTATACTTCTATTAGACTCGTTCGGACATGGTCTGAACACAACTTATAACTTCTGATTGAAGGTGTTTTTAGAACTGGGATAGAGGCTCTCGTTTAAAGGTTTTTTTAAGTTTAAAAATATATTAAAATAATATTTATTTATTTAATTTCTAAAAAATATTTTTAATATTAATATATTAAAACGATGTAAAAATATAAAAAATAATTTTAATAATTTTTTTTTTAAATTAAAAGAACGTGATTTATACAGAATTTTCGAAAAAAAAATTGAAAGAACGTGATTTATACAGAATTTTCGAACAGGTTCTAAATTAAAAAAATTAATTTATAATTGATCTAATTTAACCAAATTGACACCGTAAATTTGTACCAATTAATCAAGTGAAAATCTAATTTAATTTATATTTTTTTAAAATAGTATAATTATAATATTTTTATAAAAAATTAAAATTATATTTTTTAAATTAATTTAAATTAACTTGTTTAACCTACTGAGTGTTAGGGTAATTAGATAGGTTTAACAACTTTGTTAATTTTAAGATACCAATGGTGATTTACAGTTATTCAAAATCATTTTATAACATTGACATCCACTAAATATAGAAGCAATACGTGTAGTGTTGTGCTTCTCTGCAGCTAAGAACAGCCATTCCTTGCTGTTTAACAATAACTACGAGTACAAGGCCTATACTCCCACGTGCCTTGAATCTGTGCTTTTAACCAAAAATGAGGCAAGAGGAGAGAAAATAGTAGAAGGAAGCTGAGGGCTGTCAATGTTCATGGAGGCAAAAAATTAAGAGCAATTAGAGAAGGAAGTGACAGGAGAGAAGAAAGGTTCATCTACTAGGGGTGTTGAATATCCAATGGCAAAGATGTTGATACGTGTATAAATCGTTAGTGATAATAGTAGTAATGGTAATGAGGATGAAGAAAGCAAGGCTGGTGCTCAAGATCATGATGGTGTTCTTGCCTTCTCTAGATCAGTTCACAAGATTGACTCCTCACTACTGGAGTGAAACTCGAAGACAATGGAGATTATAAGAATGGATGTAGTTATATGTATTCTGTAATTTCTGAGGTGAATCAACGGTAATGAGCATCTGCAGTAATAACTGTTATGTATGATTTTACTGCTGTGCTTTTATTTGATTGCTGTCATGTAGGCAGTTTCCTTCATAGAAGTAAATTATTTGGGGTACAAGTTAACACAATGGAGAAGACTCGTAAGTAAATAGTGAAACCATTGTTCAATAGACATGGCATTTAATTTGGTGAGGATACAGGGGCAGAAATGGTGCCCATGGGAGGGGACGATAACAGCTACTTAAATAATCATGGCACAAGCTTTGACCTTTCTTATTCACCTTGTGGTTCACACTCCTCGCACATGTAGATCAATCAATGCACTCTTGCAACTTTTACATTGAGATCCACTCTTCACATGCAATGGTAGTATTAAGAAACCCTACCCATATCTTAGTTCTTGATTTTCTTCGTACGTCCATGGCTTCTGAGATGGTCCACAAGCTTGTCCACATACTTGTCTTGTCGATCTTTGTCAGCAAACAACGGTTTCATCTCCTTGACCTTGTCCCTGTAAATCTTCCCTTCTTCCTTCTCCATCACCAATCTCAAGGACTCAGCAACTGAATCCCTTGTGAAATATCCGTTCTTCTCATTCCTTGGTATTGAATACCCCATTTTCTTATCCTCCAAAACCCTTGCATTGATCCCCTGGTCAGCCAAGAATGTCAAGAGTATAAGAGATCTGGCATGTTGGAGTGCCTCCACCACAGAGCTCCATCCAGAATGAGTCAAGAATCCACCTACGGAGTCATGAGCTAAAATCTTGAGCTGAGGAGCCCAACTAGTCCAGACCAAACCTTGCGCTCTGGTTCTCTCCTCGAACCCTTCTGGCAGCTTGATCAACTCGGTATCAGCTGAGCCTCTATGCTTCCTTAGCACCCAAAAGAACGGGAGACCAGATAGTTCTAACCCTAGAGCTATCTCAGTCAGCTCAACCTGGCTTGGTTTTGCTTCGCTGCCAAATGCAATGTAAACTACAGAACCTTGCTTTTGCTTGTCTAGCCAATCTTTAATTGATCTCCATGCTTCATCTTCCACCCCTGTATCATATACTGTAGTGGCAAGAACACCAACTGGTATAACTGGTTTTCCATGAATTTCTTCAAGTAGTTGCAACCATTCTGGTTCAAATTCCATGCAGCTCCTCACAGCTATCATATCACAGCCTTTTATACCTTCCTGGGTACGATATAAATCGGAAACAACATTCCCAGCTAGACTCTGATAAAAAATCCTCAAAACCTCGAAAAGTCTGAAGACCACATTGGTAGGAAATGGAACCCACTTGGGAGGGACAGTAAAATCTTCTGGTTTTGATCGATCATCAATACCAGAAGCTGGCTTGACATAACTCAGCATTGCTGCTGTGAATATGCTGAAGAAAACACTTGGAATGCCAAAACTCATGGCGATATCTGGTAGCCAATATGGGGCAAAATCAAAAAGTATGCAATCAAGATCATCACAAGTTTGAAGAAACTTGGACAAGGGTTCTTTGAGGTCGTCACAGGCTTGTTTTAGGTACTGGACTTTGTCGTATGGGACATCAGTGGTTGCCTCGGCACCTTTAGGTAGGTTTTCCACTTGAGGCAATGACAGCCTGACGAAAGTTATCAGAGGTGATATACTTGGATGGAGTTTGGGGAGACGATCAGTGTTTCTAGGGGTGGAAATGAAGGAGATTTTGTGACCCTTTTGAGCTACGAGTTTGGCAAGCTCTAAATATGGAATCATGTGACCAAAGGCTAGCCATGGAAACATGGCGATGTGAAGCTTTGAGCTACCAGCCATGGGTGATCTGGTTCTTGTCTACATTCCAAAGACATAGAGCACCTTAAATACCAAAGGCAATTATTATGGCAATAAACAGAAGTGCAAAAAACGCTTCTCCAGCAAGAAAATGATTTTTTTGGACAAGAATGCCCTTGCACATTTTATTAAATTACAATGATATCATGTGCATAAATTCTTTATTTTTTTTCTTACCTCCATTTTATACACTGTTCTTCTCCCTCTGCATCCCCTCCAAACTTAGAGACGGAGGAGAACTAACCGTGTAGAGGAAAAAAAACAGATAAAGAACTGTGATTTCATGGAAAAATATCTGTGCTCTTCATCTTCCTTTGAAAGGTTAATTTTTTTGTTTTTGTATTTTATTCCATTATTGAGAGTACAGCTCGCATAAAACGGATCTTATATGATTCATAGAAAGACGAACAGCACTGGTTAGGAAAATTGCAGTGTCGATTGGTCCACATTACCAAATAATTCCACGGGAATCATCAAATATTGTCTACATATTTGAATTTTGAAGATAAATTTGGAACATTTTTTGGACTCTTTTTCTCAGAGTCGACAAACAAAGATACGAGACCTATGATTTAAGGCTTTGCTATAATAAAATTACGCAAACATCTGACTTCTTAGAGAAGAAAATAATCTTATTTGAAAATACTTGGTTAAAGTTGGCGTCAATGCATGATGAGATGTCACATTTCATCTCGCAAATAATCTTATTTTATTTTTTTATGGTAAATCAAAACTGATTTTTAGTGTATTTTCCCAGTGGAATAATCGGATGCAGGCCTTTTTTTTTGGAAGGAATAGCAAGATAATGAAGTTTCGAGATGGGCTGGGGACTCTGGAGAGCCATGCCAACGTCCAAGGCAGTGATAGCATTTTAAATCTTTGCCATTCTCTCTCTTTTCTTGATTTACACAAAAAATAGGCTTGTTAAACCTTAGGGCACACATCATGTATTATCGGAATGAATTTATTATACTTTATTCATAATTAAATTATGATAAAAAATAAACATTATATAAATAAAAATCAGTGATATTAATTTATTATTTCATACGGTAATGTTCTTAAATATTTCTAATTAACTCTGAACAAGAAAAATACATGAATTGATCCCGTAGTACTTTAAATCCTTGCCAATTATATATGTATTATTTTTCATGTATACACCTCAGATGTATATTAATATTTATCAAAATCTCTTACTTAATAAATAATTAATAAGATAAAAAAACTCTATACCGTGGATACACAGGCACCCACCTACTCCAAATTAAGAAACTCAGTTTATTAGCGAACTTCATCAGAGCTGTGAGTAATATCTTATCTGTCCTTGATTTAGGTACCGTTTAGTACTGTGGTTAGATAGAATTGTGTCTCGTTATAATCACTATTTATAACCCTGTGATAAATATTTTTAAGACAGATTTTCGAGATGGTTCCACTATTTTGTACCAGCAATTCTTGTTATATTTGGTAGTATAATAGTGATTATTTTTTAAATAATTTTTATATTTTTAAAAAATATTTTTTAATAATAACATATCATAACATTCAAAATATATAAATTATATTAAATTTTAATAAAAATATAAATTAAACCGTGTTCCAAACATCCATACTATGCTTTTCACTTTTATACGCCTCTTGCCAAGAGAAAGGGAAAAATTAAGGGCCCACCCAATTTGTTATTTACTTCCTTCAGCTCAGGTAGGAGTTTTTAATATCTCTCTGGCAATCTGTATTAATTGGTACTGTCTTCACATTAATATTGACTGTATTGTTTATTAATTCACAGGTTTCACGTGAATATTGACTCTATTGTTTATTATACCTGATAAAAAATTTTAATTTTTTATTATATTTTATTTAAAAATTAATATTTAATATTATTCAATAATATTATATAAATTAAAAAAAAATGATGATATAATAGTTATAAAATTTGATATAATTTTATTTTTATTTTTGATAATATTTTACTTGATTTTGTTATACACTAAAAAAACTATAAAACAATTAAAAATATTTGATATAAAATATTATTTATTTAATGATGTAATAGTAATAGTTAAATTTAAAATATTTAAATTAAAAATTATTAATACTAATATATATCCTTTTTAATTATTTTATAACCTCAATTTGAAAAATATATTTAACCAAACATATTAAATTATTTTTTATTTAATTTTAATTTTAACTATAATTTTAACCAAATATATATAAATATCAAACAAATCTCAAATAAAAATACTTTTTATAAAATATTTTTTTTAAATTACAATCATAGAAATTATCACATTGCCAAATACACTCATGTTATCCAATTTTAGCTATAATCATGAAATAATGAAAAACAACTTTTTCTTTTTCTAATTTATAAAAGCATCATATTTAAACACAAAATTTATTCTTCATGTTTATTTTTCAAAACAAAAGAAGTATTACTTTGTTACTTCAAGGTGTTCGTGTTAATATTTTGAGCTTGAGATGTAAACATGAATTTAAATATTTATTATATAAGGATATTCACATTAAACAACGAGAGTTTTATAGACTTGGGATTGGCTTGTTTAGAAAACGATTCTCAGTAATATTACTGCTATACCACACCAGTACCCATTACTACAATGACATACAAACAGATAAACGATTAAAGTATTTTTTTTAAAGTGAATTAATAGTTTTTTTAACTGTTATTTTAGGAATATATTAAAATAATATTTTTTATTTTAAAAAAATTATTATTAATATTAATATATTAAAAATAAATTAAAAATAAATTTTAAAAATGATTTCAACCGTTTTCGAACCACCTTTAAAAGTTCTCTAAAACTTGTATTGGTTCTAATTATAATAGAATATATCCTTGAGGAATTTGTTAAAAATTTTATATTTTATAATTAATTAATTTTTTACTTTATGTGTGTTTCTTTAATCCTTAACAAACAAGCTTTCATCTTTTGTGCTTTCAAGACGCCAAAAGCAACCGTTGGTCGCTCTCAGAGCTTCACCACTGCGAATACTTGCATCTAGCCATCTATCATTATTATTGCTATCAAACTCCTACTAAAAATCTCCACTCACCCCGTCAACGATAGAGAAAAAAAACTCTCTGCTGGTCATAGATTTAATATACAATCTATGATTAAGTACTGTAAAGTTAATTATATAAATTATAAAGAATAATATATATTATATAAAAAATCTGAAGTAGTTTTGTATAGAAGATATAGCTTATCTAATAACTTTTTTAATGCTCAATGGTCCAGCTACGAGAAATGTTGGTTTTTCCTATAAATTAAGCTCATCTCACCTGCAACAAATGCATGGTGTTACGTTTCCTATGTTTAGAATTCAATATTAGCCACTGTATTTTTATTTTAGAGCAAAGTCTTGTTCAACATCCTATACTCTAAGAAATGTAAGGTTGGAACGTGATAGCACTTTGTTTTTTTCAAATCTATTTTTTTTATGAATTAGATAATCGAATTTAAAGACTTCCATCTGCGATACTTCAGTTTAAGTCCATTACTACCATGGATACTCAATGCTTGATTGCCACTATAGGAAACATGTTATGGGCACCAAGAAAACAAGAGTTAATATGTCAAATGATAGGAAAAAATAATCTTTGAACTAGTTTTAGGAATTGTATCCCTTTATGGGCACCAAGAAAACAAGAGTAGATATGTCAAATGATAGGAAAAAATAATTTTTGAACTAGTTTTAGGAATTGTATCCCTATATTTTTAAGATTTTTAATAAAAATATTATAACTTAATTTTTCAAAAAAATAAAGAATAAAAAATGAATGAATTGAAGATTGGTTAAGACAATACAAATTAAAAGTTTGGGGACTCATAAAGATTGAATTATAATTTTAGGAGTCAATTTGGTCAAACATTGGAAGAATTAGAAGTTTAGAGACTTAATTAATCTTGAAATTATTTAATTAATGAAGCCAGTGACCCAATTGTTACATATCATAAGTTCAGGGGCCAAACTAAAAATAGTCATTTTGGATGAAATCGGTGTTGTTTTCAACGAACAGTGTTCATCATCTCCTCATCTTGAAGACCGGATCAATAGAAATCACAATTATGATGCTCACGATCTCTTATGGAACGCGCCATATTTCTAGAGGCATGAACATGCAACCTTCTCTGGCTTTTATAAAAGCTAGAGAAAGGCCTTATATGGAAAAGAGGGGACAGGCTAAAGAGAAAACAATAGACAAGAAAGAAAACAGAAGAAAGACAAAAAAAATAATAATAGAGAAGATAGGAGAAGAAGGTAAAAAACCAGTGAAGATCAAAGAAAGATTGGGAGGGAACGAACAGAAAAAAAAAAATAGAGGACATACAAAGAGAGAAAATCAGAGGCAAAGTAACACAGAGGAGAGGGACTCTAGAATCTCTTTCAAAACTCTAACAACTAAGAGCAAGCTCAGACAAACTAGGAAGACCGAAAAAATACTAGTAGTGAGAGAAAGCAAAAGAAAAGAAAGAACCAAAGGAAAAGAAAATAAAAAGAGGAATAGAGAGGTTCAAAGCATGCCTTCATCCTACTTCCAGGTAAGTTTCTCCAGATTTGTAAGATAATTCACCAACACTGTGCACTTACGGGTAGAAGCCAGCCGAGTCTCTAGTTTAGGCTAGTAACCAAGTTGGACTGTTAGGTCTAACCTAGCCTATACGAGTTAAGCTAGACTTAGCCCCCTAAAGAAAAATTTTAAAAAAAATATGCATGCATTGACTTCAAAATTATTTTACTGGTTTATTCACTAATGACAGAATAAAGAATACCATTTTTTTTTTACTATATAATATTTTCAATGTTAAAGTTGGAAGCATCCGTAGTTGAATATTCATTGATATCAAAGTCAAAAATATTACAAGTAAACCATCATAGCATAAGTTAATGAACTTATAGCAATTTAAGACAAAACTAGTAATGTAATCTGCCTCAGACAAGATGTTTAAAGGGTGATAATATCTTTTCTTTTACGTAACTAATCTCGTATTATAG